TTTTTGTTAATTTTTTGTACATTTTTTTAGAGTGACATTAATATTGAGAGTTCATATATACAAATAGCATTTGGTTTCATCAAGCTGGATGCATGTACATTGTTAATACTGTACAATCCTCACTCTTCCCTTGTTTCATTTAACACATCTCTCATGAAATATAGGCTGCGAGTTTCCATTGACATGGGTTAAAATGAGGCAATTCTGCGGACTATTTTCGTATTAAAGCAGCCCCATTATGCATTTTGCAATATATATGCGCAAAATGCACCCATTTCACCAATGCTCATCCTGGGCAGCCAGAACCCCCCCACTAGTGCGCAGTTAGCAGGTGATATGGTGGCGAAAACAAATAGAAGGGGGTTTGGGGGTAGGGCGATCAATGCTGCAACTATGCTTTGTATGGTTGGATCTGCCAGTGGTTGGGGCTAACACAGCCCCATTTTCTCTTGGAACTTCCATGGCTGCTGTTTGGCTGTGAGATGTTTTGCAGAACGGGTCTCCACTTAATCAGAATGGGAAATCAAGCCATGCACTCACACATTAATTCAATGCAATCGATTTTATGAATTCCACAAATATTTCGTACATTGGGTGTTATATCTTTACGTTATAAATAATTGCAAAACGTTTTGCTTGTTGTATGGTGTTCATATATTTTACTCATCAATTTACAAAAGCATCAATAACTATTTAAGCTAGGCATTTCATATGACATAAGTGCATTTAAACGAAGGCGCCTTTGTTATACATCTGTTCATCTTAAAGAAAGTACATTTATGCGAGCGGAACCTTTATGCTCGTGGAACTCAAATCAGTATGTAGTGTGCTTTTGGGCATAGACAGTATGCATTACAGAAATTGTGCAAAAAAGTAGCAAGTCCACTTTTTATTTCAGTACACACTATCGATTGCTGGCTGTGCATTATAAACAACATCTTTTTCATTTTCAAACTCAACGGGAAGGCATTTTGCCTCGAGCCAAACTGAAGCACTCAAATAAAACCAAATGTCAAGATTACAACTTTTAACAGAATGAAAGTCATAAAAATGGTTCTGATGTGCAAGAGCATTTTTCCACTTTACATATTAACTCTGGTTTCACCGTGTAAAGTATTTCGTTTTTGAAACGTACATTATATTTCTTTTATATATTTGAGCTGCGCATCTAAGATACACAGATGCAAATTGGATGTGAATGCCATCATGCGTCCTGCTAAAGTAGATGTTATAATTCAGAGCAGCTGGAGTGTTTATTTATGACTGGCATCAACTGTGAACCTTTTCAGCTTAATAAGTTTAAGTTTTTCTTTTTGAAATATTTTAAACAGCACTAAACATATGGCTCGTTTTTTGTAAATAGTTCTTGCTAAAGATGTTTGATTAATTCCCCCCTTGTATTTATATGCTCAGAGTTTAGGAAATGAAGTTAGAGTAGTTGCCATATGATAATTATCATATGGAAAACATCTTTTTTTTCTTTTTGAAGTGTATTGACAGTCAAACTGTTTGTTTAGGACGAAAATCTGGCTTTAGTGTTTTAATGACAAATGTTGAATTTCAGGGCATAAAATAAATAACTCTTGCTATTCATTGAGACACGAGGGATTCCACACATCCTTAAGATCATTCAACAGACTTCGGGATAAGAAGGCTCAACTAATCGAGTCTCTCACCTTTCTGAAGAGATGCCGCGACTCTAAGGCTCTTTGTTCCTCTCACACAGCTTAAAAGCCGTGATCTGAACGTGGCTCTCTCACTCCAGCGCTGTCCTACCAGACAGTCTCGCCCCCTTCACCTGATGAAGGCCGCTTGTGTTGTGGCCGAAACGTCGTGAGAATATTATTGTGTTATTTTATTTTATCAATTTATTATTTTATTCTCATTCTACGTGACTTTACCGAAAGAACCAAAGAAGATGAAACATTGAGAAACGCTTTACAAATGCCAGTGTTGTGTCCCTTCAGTGTGCGTGATGTTCAAACATGAGATGCCATACACTGTGGTTAAAGGCCACTGCATTGCACGCTTTGAGATGCGCTTCTGTGGCCGTCTGGAATGCTGTTCCTTCCGATATTAGGAAGCCACTTTTAAATATGGATTGAAAACTCATTTCGTTCAAACACATTTTTTGTCATCATTAGACCTCCTTTGCCAGTACCAAAATGTAATAACAGGGTTTTTCCCCTTTTTTCTGGCAACAAAATTGAAACCTTTTTACGAGGATTCATGGCTGCATTAACCACAATACCTGCAGTCAAAATGCAAACAAACAAAAAAATACTATGATAATATATGCATTGTCCTTAAAACTGATTGGTCCACACCAAGGGACGGCTTTCTTTTGAGCCTCGACCCAATTGTTGCTCGACCAGATGACGAGGCTCAAAAGAAAGCCGTCCCTTGGTGTGGACCAATCAGTTTTAAGGACAATGCATATATTATCATAGTATTTTTTTGTTTGTTTGCATTTTGACTGCAAGTATTGTGGTTAATGCAGCCATTAATCCTTGTAAGAAGGTTTCAGTTTTGTTGCCAGAAAAAAGGGGAAAAACCCTATTATTACATATTTTTGTGTTTAGTTAGTTATCCTTCCCCGCACCTCCAAATAGCACGGTTGGCTACGTACGGTGTGAAAGAAGTTCAACATACAGTATATAAATACATCTTTGCCAGATATACATATTCTCCCCTGCCATTGCCAGTGAGCTCATTTTTGTGTTAATTTTGTGGCTATGGAATGTAAAAAGTAGCTAAATGGATTTCCCTTCCCCTTTACCTGCCACTTGGATGATTCTTCAGGTTAATGGTCTTGGGTGTGGTTTGCAGATAAATGATGCTCATAACTGCTCGGAGAGCTTTCCTGTGTCACTTTTATGAGACCATAATGCCCTGCGAGCTTAATCATCGCACACATAAATTTAGCATGTGCATGAACAATTTGAACAACATTTCGCCCTTGAGGTTTAAGTTCAAATGTAGGTTTGAAGGTACCAAATTATTGTATATCATGCTATATTTCAGATCCTTTGTTTATCCTGCCCAATTTTGTGATATATTGACAGAGTAACAAAATGGCAAGAGTTGTCATGTCCTTGTGAAAAGCACATACAGGAATAACATTTATGTTTTCTTGTAACTGTGAATCCCTCTCAAGCTGTTATCTGACAAAGGACACTAAACGTCCATTATGTATGACCTCAAATGTTCACACGGCTTGTGCATTTGTGTCTGGAGTATACTTCAGTCTCACGCCAGTCCATTTCTGAGTTTATCCACTTTGTTCATGATCTCATAGGTGAAAAAAAGCTGTTTTTGTCCTCATACACCTCACACTTATTCTGTTATCTTAATTCAATAGCATCAACTTAATATTGAATAATATAGAAAAACAGCAACATGATAAATTAGCCTTTGTTTAAGAATGCAGTTTTGCTTTTTTTATCTTGCACATACACTTTGATGTTATTTCGTCAGCATCATTTAACCATGGTGGTTTGTGAGTTTTATAGTTCCATAATATTACTTATTCGTACATTTATCAATAAATGAAATAATGCACAGCTCCGTTATCAGTACATAGTGAGATGAACGCTTCTCCATGTTGATTGGGAGGCTTTTGACGATTCCTCACCACAATGGTCATTGTAGGTTGGTGAAGTGGGGGTCAAAGACATCACTCCCCACTGATTGTTAGCCATGGCCAGGAATCAAACTTGAATCGCAACAGTTCAACGTTCACCACACTAACCACTGCGCTCGACTGGTATATTTATAACTGTATTAATTACATTTATGATTGATACATTTAAATGTCATCTAAAATGCGTCTTGTTGTGATAATTACGACATCAAAGATGTTACGTGGTCTTACATTTGTTATGGGTATAAACTTATGTTTTGTCCATTTTATAGATGGTAACTAATCCCACACCAAACTCCCTACACTATGGTTAAGGTGCTCATTTGTGTACCCATAGAGAATAGTTGACATTTAACGATTTTCCGAACTGCATTATTTTAATATTAAAGTGGTGCTCATATTCAATTCCCTTTTGGGCAGCGTGTTAAAGTAATAATGGTGCCAGGCAAAACTTTTACGAATATAACTAATATGGTGTGAATTTTGCTACAGATTATAACTCTTTCTGATAAAATAAAGTAGGACACTGCATTCAATACAGTTGTGTGGCATAACTGCATTTGAACATTGTGGGTTAAATTGTTAAGCTTCTGTCAGGAGTTATTTCTACTGCATCGTTTTCCTTCTCTCAAGTATCACTCTTGGGAATAATTAAACGTGACGTTTTACTGACATAAATTGTCCCACGTGTAGGATAAATATGTGCGTGGGTTTATTAATAATTTAAAACCCCAACTGGGTTTAAGGGTATGGTCACCAACGATTGCTTAGACAGATAATTTACAATTGCACAGCATAGCAAAACAGATTGTTCAAGTTTAAATGAAAAAAAAAAGATTTAATTAGATTGATTTTAGATATTAAGGTCTGTTTTGGGGGTATGTGTGCTAGAGAAGATTGTTTTTTTAGAAATGAAAGTCTCGCATCAAAGGAGGAGGTGATTGGGATTATTGTTAAGAGTACAATTGAATGGCTGTGGAGTTAAATTCTTGAATTAGAAATCAGCCATTTTCTAATAAATGCATAGTTTTATCTTCGTATAAATATTACCATTTGTGAGAAAGAATTATGTAAACACAAGCCTTATATTTAACATTTTGTGAGAAGGCATTGTTACACAGTATACAATAACCACAGACTTAAATAAAGTAGAATATAATTATTTCAGAATAAATCCTTGGAGCCATGTACAAGTAACTACCAAGCAATTACTTTTAATTTCTCTAATTTAACCCAGCGAACATTTGCTTAATGGAAAGGGGAGTAGTGTTGATTGTTTTTCTGTTGTTTCTTTCCCCCCCTCTCTCTCTCTCTTTTCACCCAATTGCCCCCCTTCCTGCTCATCGGTGGTTGCCAGGTTTTGTGGGGACCCTGGCGGGCAGCCCGAGTCCCTGGAGCCGTGCGTGCTGTCGCGGGCCTGCGAGGTGGGCGAGTGGTCAGCGTGGGGCCCTTGCTCTCGCTCGTGCCGCTCGGAGGAGCCTGGCGCCGTGGGTGGGGCCGGCTTCCGATCTCGCTCACGGCCCATGGTGCAGGTGGCCCTGGGGGGCGGGCGGGACTGCCCGCCACTGGAGGAGGATGCGCCCTGCAGCGCCAGTGATCGGGAGCTGCCACCTTGTCCACGGTACATGTTGCACATTTGTTTTAATTCATGGATTAATTCGATTTCGCCAGGCAACAACTGTGGCAGAAAGTTTGTGTTACGAGCAGGCAATCAGGATTTCTAATTCAGCTCGAATTCCGGTGGCATCGTCACTCTGGAGTCAATAAGTTAAACCTCATTTGTGGGAGGGGAACATTGACTGTCCTTTGGCGTGACTGGTCTATGCCATAGAATCTTGAATTTGTATTACTGTTTAATGACAACCAACAGAAATTAACACTGATGAATGCTCATTTCTGACCAAAGTTACTTTGCCTTTTTTTTTTACAATTCACAACATTTAATAACACTGATCATCGTTATTTTCCCAATATTTTTCCTGTGATTTGTTAAATAAAAGCGAAGTGGTTGTGTTTCGTGGTGCCAGTAGCCAAACTGCTGTTTCAAGGCTAACTAACACCTCCATTTACCACCCATGAAATTGGTTGGGAAGAACACTATTCACACAAGGCTGCAGCCAGTTATTAAATGGCCAGCAGGGACTTCTTGGTAAAATGATTTGAGCCACTGTGTGCGCATACAATTACAGAAAGAATTTGTATTCTACACACAAAGTAACAACATTTCAAATCTACCTCAGCAGTATCACGGAAAACAGGTTTTTTTGTCATCTAAAATGGATTTATAAAAAAATGCATGGCCAGATTTGTGTTGAAGATTATATATGTTACTTATTTTCACTTTACGTTTGCTTAACTGGGATTTAATGTATAATAAAGCTGAATTACAAATTTTGGACTGCATAGACTCGTAAACATAATAATATACGATTTTCTATGATGGGTGCATTGTATTTAATGACATTAACAGTAGCGCAGAGAAGCTTTTTAAAACAGTATCTTGAATTTAAACAAGTGATTTTCAATCATATTTTAAAATAGCTTTAATAATTTCAAAGTGCATGTTAATTCCATTAATAGATTAAATTAATCTAGCATATAACAAATAACAAAAAACAAGTCTTAGGAATAAGGATCTTCGAACTCAAATGTCGTAAGAGTATATTGTCATTTATGTTTGGTGATGGAAAAAGAGTGCTTCAGTTAATTAACAAAAATTTGTATATATGTTGATTATAGTAGCTATATTGTGTAAATAGGCTTGGCTATTTATTTAACACGTATTTATGTTATCTCGCTCACGGCACCATTCTGGATGATTAATGATGCAATTTGACATCTTATTTAAAGATATGTGTTTTTTTTCACCAGAATTATTTTATTGGAAAAAAAAACTCCCCAGGGTAATGGTACAGCGTACGGTCAGATGGGGTTGGGTGAGGGAACACGAGGTGGAGGTAATGTGTCACGGAGTAACACCAATAAGAGAGTTAGGGTCTTGCATACAGGGGGTGGTAAGTTATAAGTAGAAGAGACACAGTGGATGGGGTGATGCTTTGAGGAGTGCTGTGGGGGAGGCACCCAAGAAGGTGTGCGTTATGGAGGTTGGGTGACTTGTGGGTGTTGTGGTATTCGGCGAGTGTGCGTGTTGATTGAGTGAGGGTACGTCTGGTGGGGCAGGCAGAGGTGGCACGTGTAGTGGGCGAGTGTGCGTGTTGATTGATTTAAGGTACGTCTGGTGGGGTGGGCAGAGGTGGCACGTGTAGTGGGCGAGTGTGCGTGTTGATTGATTTAAGGTACGTCTGGTGGGCTGGGCAGAGGTGGCACGTGTAGTGGGCGAGTGTGCGTGTTGATTGATTTAAGGTACGTCTGGTGGGCTGGGCAGAGGTGGCACGTGTAGTGGGCAATGTATGCGTGTTGGTTGATTGAGGGTACGTCTGGTGGGGTGGGCAGAGGTGACACGTGTTGTGGGCGAGTGTGCGTGTATGGATCCCTCTCGCCACATACAAAGCTGAATGGGAATGAAGTAACAAAGCGAACGCAGTGGGAAGATCGTGGATAAGCACGGGAAGCAGGGCAGCACTTAAACTAAGACCATTAGTCCTATATCCCTGCCAGAGCAGTGTAGAGATTACATTTTTGAAAACAGGATATTGAAAATTACATCAATCATCTAATGTAAGGCCTATTTTGAAGCCTCTTTTTTCATACTAAACCTCTAATGTAACAATACTATCTGGTTAGCAGATTTAGATGTTTTACTATTGATCACGTATACATAAATAATTTTATGAAAAAATTTTGCATTGGATAAATTCCACATTTTATCTACTCAAATAAAATGTAAGGATATCAAATTAATGTTTTTGAAAATATATTTCTGCTACAATGTCCATGAAAAGGGGAAAAAAGAGAAAAATAAACTGTTGTCAGGCACATTGGCATAAACACTGACAAAATGAAAGGTCACACATTTAATTTTGGCGGATTTACATTTCTGCAGGCCGTTGTGGAACATTTGCACTGAGCCAAAAGTATTATCCTGTGATAGTGTTCACTGTACTGTAGAGATGAACACATCACATTTTGGCTGAGGAACAATATGGTATGTCATTATGTTATTGTGAATCCGATATGGTTGGAGGAAAGTAATTCAATGCATTCTCCCCACGCATTTCCCATGCGATTTTTCTTGGCACCAAAAAATTACAAAGTCGATTTACTGCTGTTGCTGAGTGTATGAATTACATTTGCAATGATACAGTATTGTTATATATATAAAAACTGATAAGGCTACAAAGACCTTCACTAAATGTGTTTTGGCTTTAACTCCACCAGTCTACAACAGTCTGAGAGACTCTAAACTCTAGAGTGCTTTAAGATTATTTGATATATAAATTATGTGTTTCCAATAATTAGGTCTGCCAGCACTTGATCTATTGCGCAGGACTTACAATAAAATAGATCAAAATAAAGTATGTACAATATATATGTAGATATATATAATTGATCATGTTGGATGGGACAAAAGAGATGACCAATATATAATACTCTCAAAACTATACAGTCTTGAATTTTTTTTCCCTAAAATACCAGTTTTAATAAATGCTATATATCTATGACATTGACGCAAGTGTTCAAAAGCCATCAGTGGGACAGTTTAATAACAGTGTATTGTCAAATGCACTGGTGTAATAATTCTGTGCATGAATAATATTTTTTTAAACATTGGTGCAAAATTTCTATTGCATTAATCAGATGCCTGAGCAAATATACAGTACCATAGATATACAGTACTTAAATAAACTGCACTCAACCAGTGGAATTCATGAGATGGAATTAAATTAAACAAACAAACAAATCAACAATGTACACAAAACGTAGAATAAAATAGTTATTACACAGTTTTGAGCGCACTACACCAAATCGGCAGCAGTAAACATGGAAATTCAAAGTGTCCTCATGCTCAAACGGAGTGGTGCTCACCTCCAATAAGGGCTCTGAAGCCTGTAGGGGAAATTCCACATCTTTGTGTTGGGGGCCCATATCTCCATAGGACTACTGCTTTTGACGAATAGAGGAACGATCGGCTGAGTCCACTTCAACAATGTCAGGGTTCATAATCATTTTAGGTTTTCAGTTTTCATTTTTTTTTCAGTTTCATTTATTTGGTACAGCCCTGTGAGCCATTCGGCTCTTGAATCAGGTACAACTGCAACAAACAAAAAACAAAAACATGAACAAGAAAACATTTTAAAGTGACTATGCGCAAACAGAAAAATCCAGGGAAAAATAACAAAAATCTTTCAGAAAAAGCACCGTACACCAACGCTGTGTGCAAAATTCCCAGTGGGATGCAAGTCAAACAGCAACAACAACAACCACAAGACAACTTAGATTAAAGCCATCTGTCTAATTCCGTACTACAACAAACAAACATGGCCAAACCAAAAAACGTTTTCGAAATCACGAAAATAAAGCCATAAAAGCAATGTAACAGTGATCATAGGAACTGTGACCGAAATTGTCACAATAAACGACATAAACAACATGTACCACCAAACCCTGTAGCCATAGCTGGCTGCATGAGTCACTCCACAACAGCAGGAGCATCAGTAGGAGTATCAAAATTTTTCATTTCAGGTAGAGAATCGCACAGAACAGGAAGAGAGCAAAAGCCAGGGCGACGTCAATGGAAGGTAACAGAGGCAGAGGATATTTGAGAAAAAAGTGCACTGGTGGATTTGAAGCAGTGGGGGGGGGGGGGCACTAAAACAGGAAGGAGTGACATGGAAACATCAGCAACAGATGGTATGTAATAATGACTACCAACAAGTAGCTCACGGAAGTTCATTAATCCAATAGCCTCCGTATAGTGGCTGGACGGGAATGAGCAAATTACATCATGTGGCACCAAATGTGCGCTTTGCAAATGTTTCGGGCACAGGGCAAATTTCAGCTATACTGGTTACAGTGACTGGACCAAGGACCAATGCACACCATTGCAAACTGATATGCCGATCTCCTCGGCCTCGTGCCCCCCACCCCCCGCCCCGCACGTCATTGCTCTGCTTCGTGTGATGGCGCAGGTATCGTTGGAGGGGCGCCGAGTGGGCCGAATGCCGAGTGGACGCCCTGCTGAGCCAGCAGGACCGCCGGCGTGGGAACCAGACTGCGTGGTGCGGTGGGGGCATTCAGACGCGGGACCTTTATTGCATCCTCGACGATGAGAACATATTCTCCTACCTGAAGAGCTTGCGAGAACGTGGAGGTAATGTAGGAGCTGCCGGAAACACCCTGAGGGGCAGCCTGCTCAGAATAGAATCTGTACGGTATTCATTTGGATAAATAGCTTTGCATTAAGGTGCATGATTGAATCGTGCAGTCATTAACCTAGCAGCCACACTCATCTAACAGTTACCCCAGTATGCGCATATTAAAATGAGATACCCTATCTGCTGAGGCAGAATGTCGATTTTCCACAGCTAACTGGCAACATCTGGAATGTGAATACCTTATCTAAAGTTTTCAGTCACACACTTTAACTTATTTATGCACTGATACGTGAGTGTAATAAGCTCAGCTTGTAACCTGTATCAAGAATTTAGAAGGTAATTTTGATGACGAATATAGTTGGTACTCAATTTAAGATCTTGAAAACATTTTTTGAGGGAATAATAAGCATTTTGTCCAATATACTTCATCACATTATGCAAAACAAGGCTTTGGTGTGCTGAAATCTTGACTGGTATAATCATTCTAGTTATACATATTCATGGTTTTTTTACAACATGGTTACATTATATATATAAAAAATCACTTTTCACAGCCATATTTTTTTCATGTTAATGTGCCATTTATTGAGGGACAACTTGTGTGTTTTCTTGGTGTGGTTTTTGGACTGCTTTCTCATTTTCTTTGGTTCTTTCGGTAAAGTCACGTAGAATGAGAATAAAATAATAAATTGATAAAATAAAATAACACAATAATATTCTCACGACGTTTCGGCCACAACACAAGTGGCCTTCATCAGGTGAAGGGACGAGACTGTCTGGTAGGACAGCGCTGTCCTACCAGACAGTCTCGTCCCTTCACCTGATGAAGGCCGCTTGTGTTGTGGCCGAAACGTCGTGAGAATATTATTGTGTTATTTTATTTTATCAATTTATTATTTTATTCTCATTCTACGTGACTTTACCGAAAGAACCAAAGAAGATGAATCATTGCAGTCACGAAAGCTTTAAATCGATGCTTTCTCATTGTTTCTGATGCCTTGCCCAATCTTGAAAAATTGCAATTATTTAATGAATGCATTCATTAGTTATTTATATGTAGTGACTTGTTTACCATTTTCTCTTATTTTTCGCTCCTCTTGGTTATTTTGTATTGTATTGTTTGTTGTTGTAACTTGCTGGCCCGCCCATACAGGACATCTGTGAAAAAGAGCTTTATAGCTCATCGCATGCCTCCAGTCTAAATATAGATGCTGATTCTGATATGAAAAAAAGTGGCTATAATATATAGCCACACATGTAACCTATTCTCCGTTGAGCCTCTTCAAGATCAATGTTCCCCTAACTATATCGAAATAACATTGGAATAGATCACTCAAATGCTCCAGTTATTCTAGCACGTGAGGAATGAGCTTTCTGGTTGACTGCTGCCATATATCCAAATTAGCAGCACAAGGTTAAAACTGACATGTGCTGGATTTGGCCAGTTTAATTTAACTGCTATTGGTCAAAGGTTATTTGTCTATGTGAAAAATATTTATCTAGGGATATTCCCGGTCTCTTGGGTTAAGTCCCAATGGCCCAGCAGTGCTTTAAAACATCGACTTTTTCTGATGCAAGTAAGCAAAAGATAAATGTAAGGCATTTAGCTAGTTTGTGGCAAGAGTCGAATGGACAATATTGATTTTCCCTTCACCTCTGTCAGCAACAAGGGATGACTGTTAAAGAGTGCACAGGCAGACATGCAGGCCTTGCATGCATTTGCTTCTGCAAAAATCTAACATCACTCGACATTTCTTTCCAGTCATATAAAGTGTCTCTGCATATTTCCACATAATACATATTAATGTACACTTAAGAAATCCAACAAGACTGTGCATACATATGTATGCATTCATATGCAATCCACCTCCGATTAGCATGGTTGGCTACGTACGGTGCGAAAGAACTTCAATATACATACATTACAGTGAGTATTGTAGTTGATAAAAAAAATATACAACTCCTGCATATGACCATGGCAAAATTGTCATCTTTTGCAAATATTTGCCATTCATACAGTCATTATATATTGACCTTGTTCAAGTCCTGCATCTCACATATACTGTACTGTAATTGAAATCAGCCCCTGATGTACTCTGCTTTTCAAATGCCCTTTGTCGATACTACTGAGGGTCTGTATGCCAAACTGTGGCCTGACATATTGTACATCAGATGGAATTCTAATATCCATACAAAGTATGGGACAAAGCCATGCAAGCATATCCTGTTTCAAAACTAAATCCAAAAATATTCCCTTTGCATAGTACAATTGCTGTGAGTGAACACCTATTAACTAGCACATCGGTTTATACACACACACTCTGGTATAAACATTTCGATCTAATTTCTGATATAAAAAAAATTCCAAGAATATTCAGAGATGGCTATGGATACAAAGAGCAATAGAGTAAATCAAGTTCCCTCTATGTACATGTCAGGATATGTACCTAAGTTTCCAAGTGTATACAAGTGAATAATGTATCGTTTTATGCCGCCTTTGTCATTGTTCATAGACATATGTGATGGGGTCTGGGTTGTTATTGTTGTTTCATCATCACCATCATCAGCCATGATCTATCCACTACTCGATTAAGGCCTCCCTAAATATCACTATCTCTCGCAGTCATGCAATGTGCCCATCCACTTATCACCCACATAGGAGCTGATTTGTTCTTGTTATTTGTAATGCCCAATTTTTTTATATATACAATCATTAATACCCATGGTTGATAGTACAATTTGAGTATTTCACAAGCACAGGTAAAAAAAAAACTAAGGGCAAAATTGGTGAATAAAATGAAGAATTTTCTATATTATAATAATCAAAGTTAGATTTTAACATATTGAGAATACATCGGACATTGCGAAATTATTATACTATAACGAACATAAGACATAATGTTTGGTCAAGATGGCAGCTCGAACTCACAAACCTATTCAGTTTAAAACATAGGCTTTCGCCACAGCGTATGATTTAAAGAACACCAAAGAAATATTAACTATTCTCAAACAGAACTGTGCGCAGTTGCAGAACATGCTTGCCAACAAGGACACTCAATAGATTTTTATAACGTTGAAGTTTTGTGTAAAACTAATTATGACTGGCCAAGACTAATTCGAGAAACCATTGAAATTGAGAGAAATACCAATCATTTTAACCGCTCTGACAACTACAGGCTTAGTGCGGCCTGGAAGCGTATTAATTCCTGATAGAGGAAACACATACTAATTAACTAATTACTAACCTATTATATAATTATAATAGCCCCCCCCCCATCCGCCTCTGATCTCTGCACCTCATTGGGTTCAGGTGATGACGTCGTCTTGTTCTATTTAAAAACCGGAAGCAGGTAGATTGCTTCACTTTTCTGGCAAATCGCCCGATGTTGCCGGATGTAATTACCGGGGAAACGTTGTACTCAAATTGTAAATGTGGATTTACTCTCCAACACACCGGTGGGCTGAAGTAGTAACTACGTGGCGTTTTGTTTACTTGACAAAATCCCTTACTAATTGGCTGTGTCGGGTGGTGTAGGGTTACGACACAACATTTATACTTACGCGATCTAACCCAAAAAACCTTTATCATGAATCACAAACTTATAATGTAGAGGACAGTATATACTCGAAATCGCATTTTTCTCCAGTGCTCAAATGACTACATCTTTGTGACAAATGTTTCTTGTGTGTGTCTGAATCAGTATTTTACAGGGAAATATTTGTTTAGTTCCATCCTATCCACCTTCCCTGTTAAACCAAAATCACTGCTGAATTTTGTGTAGAGCTGCCTGGAAATGAAAAATGGAGGCCTACTATTGTACCCTTGCTGTCTGTCCCACTGGAGATCTCAGGTGAGCCAATTTAAAGTTTAAAGAGGATTCAATGGAAACACTGAGGGGTGGGTGGAAAAAAAACCCCATAAGAATAAAAGAAATAAGACATTCAGTCAAGCGATACGACATGAGATGTCAATTAAAATAGTCCCTTTGTGCAGAACCGTAACTGACAAATGGCGCATGGCTGAGGCACTGTGGATGGATGGAATGTTAATGAAGGCAGGTTGGTTCTGTCTGCATAAGGGTCAGACCATAATGCGTGAAATACAATATACGAAATGGCATGAGTGTCAACTATTCCTGTGTGATGTGAAAGTACCTGCAGGTGCCCATGTGACAGTGTTGAACAAAATGTCAAACTTCACAGTTTTAAGGCTGCTCTCATGCAGTTTCTGCAGGATAAAAAATAGTAGACATGCAATAATAATAGTAGCAACTCCAAATTATATATTCTCACTAAATTAATGAATCCACTATGTACTATGTGACTGTAATAATAATTCAGTTATAGCCAATGGAAATTACCTCAACTTTTAATTTCATTTAACAGATACCCATCATGCTTAAACTCAAAATAAATATAATTAAATGACAGAGCAAGAAATTCAAAAAACTTAATTACAAATTCAAATTTGCATGGTAACAACAAGTAAAAGTAAATACAAAAACACTGAGTCAAGGTCATCGGAACGTTTAAATAGTATGCATGACTTTTGGAATCTTAAGTATTTTCTGAATGCATTGCACACTTGATCCCTTCCCCCACCCACTCTTTTCAGTTAATCTCCTTTCGCTATAATATCCTTACCATCCTTTTCTTATGCTCATTCCATTTCCCAATCCCTCCGCCTTTCCAAATTGACCCAACTTACAATCCTGCAAAAATGCCACGTGTGTGGGCTGATGACTTTGACAGCTCCCAAGCCCGTGGATGGCAGTGTGTGTCCTGCACAGCGGAGTCTGGATGTGGGTCGCCTCTGTGACCTGCCGTGTCCCGCCGAGTGTCCTGTGTCAGCGTGGACTGCCTGGGGACCTTGTGTCCCCGAGAGCTGTGAGGAACCCCAATCCAAGAAAGGTACACATTTGTTGTGATGTGCTCCGCCAAAAAATCGTATCTCGCCGAGACGTAATCGCGGTGAAGCATGGGTTAAAGCAAAACGTGGTTGAGAGTACAAATTTGTGATCAACAATTTTACAGGGTAACTTTGTTGATGTTCGAGTGAGAGAGGATTGCTCTTATTACTTGTCTTAGGCCACAGGTGCTTGCATACTTCCAGACACCTTCTGAAATTCAGCAAAACGCTTTTATCTGCCATAGTACATCTTCCTCTGTCTTATGCTTTTCACTAAGCCCTCTTGTAACCCTAAAATAGGTAAATTAATCACTAGGAGAGCTCAGACCACTTTCTAGTACAATGATGAAAAATATTTTCAAGACAGACGGTATATGGGAAAGTAATTATGTATGTATGCTGAACATCTTGTGCACTGTACGTAGCGAACCGTGCTAATAGGTGTGGGGGAAGCATAAACTAAACACAAAAAGCAGTTCTAAAAAAATGCGTTTTAAATTTAAAAGTGCATAGCTCCAGTGGCTTATTAATATCAGAAGGAAGAGCGTTCCAGATGACTGCAGAAATGTCTCTGAAAGTGTGCGAAGCACTTGCCGTCTTTGTTTAATTATTCGCCAAAAGGCGCTGCAAGGATGACTGAAGTTCGTGTGATGGTTTATGCTCATTGACGAGATCAGCAAGTTTTGATTTAAAGTTTTCGTGTCTGCAGGGATTCATATTCTTGGTTCTTTCGGTAAAGTCACGTTTCCCTTCTACGTGACTTTACCGAAAGAACCAAGAATATGAGATGAGCAAGGTATTGTGGTTCATTTGTGGCAAGCACTTTGTGTGTAATTAGCACGATCGTATAATAAGATCACTAAGACCACAACCAAATCATAGCAGTCAGTTTAGTCACTATTTCAAACCCCAATGCAGAGTGCAAGTTGACAACCCTTTGCTCAATATGCTTTCAACAAGCATCCAATCCATGTTGTTCCATTTTTGAAGGAACGTTTTATATAATTCATAGCAATGCATAGGCTCTCTTTCTTAATATTTTTAAACTGCCAACTATGGGCTTTGTACCTGTACTAACATTTGTGCTTGAAAGATTTGCAATCTACTCAATTAGGAAGTCATTAACCATTTAAAAAATCACAATATTTAGACATTCCACAGCACTGGTAAAATAATTATTTTAATTCTATCTTAATGTTCATATTTAATGTATCATGCAATACTAAATTTGCAAGCTGTTTGACGGTGCTTCTGCTGTTTTCCCAGCCCTCAGAGATATATATATACACAAAATATATTATCATTTGTATAGCATCCAACAACCAGTACATTTAAGCGATGTGGTGTGCAGAGCTTTAATTATTATTTTATTATCAAGTGATGGATGCATTTTTCTACCGCCATCACATCAGCGGTTGTTGCAATTCCACATTAGTAAGCAAACCCTCATGTATTTTTAGATATGCACTACAGTATAGTACATGCTGCACTCTCTTATTGTGACACTATCAAACGGATTGTAACGTCTAGTTTGTTAGCTGATTATGAAGACTTGTCAATTCAGTGTAATTTGTGAATTTAAATTATTTGCAGGTGAATTAGTAACTTATTTTTTTTTACCTTAATGAACTGAGTTGTGTGTTGTGTTTAGGGCTGCACCGTTGCTTGGTAAATTGCGTGATTTTCTGGGGAGTTATTCTATCTGTTCATCTACATGCCCAACTCATAACGGCTCAACAAATGAACCTTATGGCGGGACCCCGGGGTCCCGGATAAACGGAAGTAAAAATCGTAATTAATGAATTTATTTTTGGCGACTCCGTCCCCACCGCGCACATAAACGCCGCGACCCACCTGGCGCGGATCGTTCTGTTATGTCGTGTCGGCCAAGCGCAGCAGCAGCGAGGACGAATGTGCAGAAGAAACAAAACTTTTAAACTTTGATTGGCGCACCGTGCAGAGCTCGTCGAGAGGAATCGATTTGCCGTGTCGTTCGCCTTCAACAGACATAAAATGACGTTGCAACGCAGTTTATGCGAGAGCCGGGGGGCTTATGGGACCCTGGGGTCCTGCGATAAGGTTCAAATACACATGGAACAATAGATGGGTATCAAAATGTTTATAACAGTTCAGACCCCTTGTTAAAGTTGCAAAGCAAGCACACAATCACTTGTTGTATGCTTAATGAATAATGCAAGTCCATTATGTAGGCAAAGTGGAAAGTGTGAAAATCCAACAAAAGCTAACTAACCTTAGGCTAATGTTTACTTAACTTAATCTAATCTAAATTAAGTGTGTGTAATGTACAAATTGACCTTTAGCTTATTAATGGGCAGCACATTAAAATATCTACCAAACAGTTAATGTGCCCTTAATTCTTTGGAGCTGCAACTCATCTTTGCCACTTACATTACATTGTTGGTACTTATTAGTAATTTATAGTTCAGATTAATTAAATGTTGCTGTTATTCAAAATGATTGCTGCTGTAGGTCCATCTTATAAAAGATTTACTTAAAGTATATTTCACAGTTCACGGTGCTCTCGGTCTGGGCATTTAGCTCAGGATACCTAATTTGGCCGTGATTCCGTCACAATGCGGCAAAACAAAGTCTGCTTTTGCAGAAAATTAAGCTCCATTCTGCAAACTGCAATTCAACACGGGTTGATCTCATGCCGAAAAGCGCATGGTTACCCCCCCCCCCACACCATTAATTCCCCCAAATGTGTAATGGACGAGCGTTGGTGGGATTGTGGTGGATTTATGGTGGAGCCGAAGGAATGGCAAACAGTTTCCTTCTCTGGCCGAAACACTCCTGCCACCCTTGCGAGATTGCAGAGGGAAAAAAGTATTTGATCACCTGCTGGTTTTGTACGTTTGCCCACTGACAAAGAAATGATCAGTCTATAATTGTAATGGTAGGTGTATTTGAACAGTGAGAGACAGAATAACAACAACAAAAATCCAGAAAAACGCATGTCAAAAATGTTATAAATTGATTTGCATTTTAATGAGGGAAATAAGTATTTGACCCCCTCTATAAAACATGACTTAGAACTTGGTGGCAAAACCCTTGTTGGCAATCACAGATATCAGACGTTTCTTGTAGTTGGCCACCAGGTTTGCACACATCTCAGGAGGGATTTTGTCCTACTCCTCTTTGCAGATCTCCAAGTCATTAAGGTTTCGAGGCTGACGTTTGGCAACTCGAACCTTCAGCTCCCTCCACAGATTTTCTATGGGATTAAGGTCTGGAGACTGGCTAGGCCACTCCAGGACCTTAATGTGCTTCTTCTTGAGCCACTCCTTTGTTGCCTTGGCCGTGTGTTTTGGGTCAGTGTTATGCTGGAATACCCATCCACGACCCATTTTCAATGCCCTGGCTGAGGGGAAGGAGGTTATCACCCAAGATTTGACGGTACATGGCCCCGTCCATCCCTTTGATGCGGTGAAGTTGTCCTGTCCCCTTAGCAGAAAAACACCCCCAAAGCATAATGTTTCCACTTCCATGTTTGACGGTGGGGATGGTGTTCTTGGGGTCATAGGCAGCATTCCTCCTCCTCCAAACACGGCGAGTTGAGTTGATGCCAAAGAGCTCCATTTTGGTCTTATCTGACCACAACACTTTCACCCAGTTGTCCTCTGAATCATTCAGATGTTCATTGGCAAACTTCAGACGGGCATGTATATGTGCTTTCTTGAGCAGGGGGACCTTGCGGACGCTGTAGGATTTCAGTCCTTCACGGCGTAGTGTGTTACCAATTGTTTTCTTGGTGACTATGGTCCCAGCTGCCTTGAGATCATTGACAAGATCCTCCCGTGTAGTTCTGGGCTCATTCCTCACCGTTCTCATGATCATTGCAACTCCACGAGTTGAGATCTTGCATGGAGCCCCAGGCCGAGTGAGATTGACAGTTCTTTTGTGTTTCTTCCATTTGCGAATAATTGCACCAACTATTGTCACCTTCTCACCAAGCTGCTTGGCAATGGTCTTGTAGCCCATTCCAGCCTTGTGTAGGTCTACAATCTTGTCCCTGACATCCTTGGAGAGCTCTTTGGTCTTGGCAATGGTGGAGAATTTGGAATCTGATTGATTGATTGCTTCTGTGGACAGGTGCCTTTTATATAGGTAACAATCCGAGATTAGGAGCACTCCCTTTAAGAGTGTGCTCCTAATCTCAGCTCGTTACCTGTATAAAAGATACCTGCGAGCCAGAAATCTTTCTGATTGAGAGGGGGTCAAATACTTATTTCCCTCATTAAAATGCAAATCAATTTATATCATTTTTGACATGCGTTTTTACGGATTTTGTTGTTGTTATTCTGTCTCTCACTGTTCAAATAAACCTACCATTAAAATTATAGACTGATCATTTCTCAGTCAGTGGGCAAACGTACAAAATCAGCAGGGGATCAAATACTTTTTTCCCTCACTGTACCTCAATCACACTTTGGGGCATGACATGTGCAGGTCTCTTTGAGAGGATGGTCTAAGCAGTGTGTGAAGCAATGGATGGAGGCACGCATGTACAGAAAATCGATGAAAGTGATTATAATTATGTTGCTAATTCTGCTGCTGCTAAAAATGAAAATGATTAATGTGATTCAGGTAGTATCCTCAAGAAAGCTTCAGTGTGTTCCAAGATTCATTTTATTATTGTTTTGCATGTGAGAAGAAACTGGAGTACCCACAGAAACTCCACGTTAAGATGGAATTACACTCAAATTTCCACACAGATCCAGAATGCAATGTCTGCACTGACTTAACCTGGTAGTTGTGCAACTCCGCATGTTCAGAAGTGATCGTTATCATTGTTTTAAGTACCACTAAGTTGTTTGGCTTAGCACTACATAATTGTAAAAGTAGCCGGTGTACACGGCAGTATGTTAAATGAAGCAGGTAATTTGGCATCCTCACATTTGCCAGATTTATAATTCATTGGCATTTTTCTAAGAACCACGTGGTGGAAATGTGCCATATGGGTCTATTTAAATTATGTTTT